AAGCCACGAGCCTCACAAAGCGTGCGGCCAGCAAGGCCAGGTGTGTATTTTGATTTAAGAAAAAATATCAAACTACTCAGTTAACCATAACTTAGTATTTTCCATGGCATTAATTCAATAAAAGTGAGGACACTTTCCCACTGTTTCACGGACTTTCAAATTATTTTTTTAATGCAGGCTACGGAGTGAGCCGCAGCCGCTCCGATTGCCAGCATCTTCTCCCCAGCACCTATTTTAAGTTCCATTTGTAGAACACATCCACACTGCTCCTACTTAATTCGCTCTTGTCCACAGATTCAACCCAAAGTTTCCCAAAGAAAAAACTCTGCTTGGCTCTCCCAAAGAAAAGTCAACTGGAGCATGAGCCATCCCCCAAGCTGAGGGCTTCAGGAGGTGGGAAACCTGGGCGCAGATGGGCTGCCCCCAGGTGGGACCCCCAAGTCCCAGGGCCACAAAACTGGGGGCACCAGCACCGCGGCAGCGTCACCCAACGGCAGCGGGGTGGTTGGGTCACGCTCCGGCAGCATCCCGGGAAGAAGGTAGTGCTCCCCCACCCACCCCGAATAAACCGAAGGAGTCTTTGAGGAGAGGTCAAGCTCCTGGAGACCCTTCTTTCAAAACCAGACCCACCCACCCAAGCCTGCTGGCAGGACTCACCACTGGCCGAGCGTCTACCATGCCGATTGATGTTCTTGGCTCTCTGGTTGGGACTCGGTGGTGTTTTTACTGTTGACACCTGGCAATTGTACATGGCTATTCGTGCTGCCAGTCAACGACTGGTAGAAGAGTTAGGCGTGGTACAAAAATCAGCAGTATTTTACAAGACAACCTGAGGAAGTGTTAGCAAACGGGGGAGAAGAAGTCCAGATGTTGCCGTGCCACACCAGCAGTCTGCTCACCGCACGTGTAGAGCACGGGACCAGCAGTCGGGGAGCAACGCACACCCTTCCCTTCCACAACAACGTGCAGAGAACTGAAGTCGAGCCAACGGTGTAAAAAGCATGCAGTGCCACTCAAAAATCATGATAAATGATGAAAAGAACCTTTGGAAGTTTGTATAAAGTCCTCGGGTGTACAACTGACGGGTCCTACGCCGCTGCTTCCAGGGAAAGCGCTGAGCCACAGCGGTGTCTGAGCCAACCCTCCGGCAGTGCCGAATCTCTGAGTTCTTATTCCATGCCAACATTTAAAACAAAACCAATTTTTTTTTTCCTCAAAGATCATCGGATCTGTTGTTATTAGTTAGGTAGCACACGCCAGCATTCGTGCAGAATGGTCCTGAGCCCGCGCGTCAGTTGTGCCTGTCCATGACTGCAGCTACGTGTGCACCTCCTGGCCCACGCGTGACGGTGTCTGGGACCACCCGGCCATGGTCCTGAGGTTTTTACACACAGATGATGTCGGGCAGAGCCCTTTTCCTGGCCGCTGCTGGCGGTGGCATCCGTACCCGTCTCTCCAACGGGGCCACCCAACACTCCATGGGGCCCCGCACTCCCCTGCCCAG